CCTCCGTGCACTCCGCTCGGATAGGGTTTAGGGCTTCGGGTTTAGGGTTTAAGGCTTAGGGTTTAGGGTTTAGCGTTTAGGGTTTGGGGTTTAGAGTGTGGGGTTTGTGCTTCAAGGTTTTTATTGACTGCTCTTCAATCTCCTTCGGCAACTTTTTGTACTTGGGGGGATGGCGCCCGTGAATCTTCAAGTACTACTATGCGGACTTCCATGACTTCTATGACTTCCATGGTTTGGGAGAAACTCTTGAGGACTTGGAGACCAAAGCAACGGCAACAAATCGTACATCTTAGCAGTAGGGCACCACTTCGAGACCAAAGCAACGGCAACAAATCGTACATCTTATAATTGGGGCACCGCTTTGAAACCACCGAAAAGAAGATCTAAAAAAGTCAGTCTTAGCAAAGAGAAGATTTGAAAAAGTCAGTTTCGAAAGCATTCGCGAAACGTAAAAGAAACGCACCAGAATCATGTCGACTCAACAGTGCGGCCCATCCACACTGCGAAGAAAGATCGCGACGCAATCTCGAGCATACAACTGGAATGACTCATGAATTGAGTTTCTTGGCCGGCTTGTTGTCAGAGTGTGAGCCAAAAAGGGCTCTTCCCCAGGCTTCCAATACAGAGCCGCACTCCGACGGACTGCTTCTTGCAACCAGCTGCACAATGCTGCAAAATGGTTTGACAAATGCGTTCGTCAAATCAGGTACAGACAGTTTCTCATAGATCCGTTCCTCAAATCAGGTACATGCACTTTCAATCAGATCGGTTCCTCAAACCAGATACAAATCTAAAATTAGATGCAAAAAATTTAACAAATCGGGTCCTAAAACCAGCTGCAAGATGCTCTAAGAAATCACCTCCAAAAACACAAAATGGGTTTAAAGGGCAGGGCTAATTCCGGGTGGATTTGGCACATGAAAGTCATCAAACGAAGCTCACGTGCATTTCTGCTGCTCTCACTGCGCTCCAACTCCATGGCTTAGCCACAAGTCAAAGTCTGCCTAAATCTAACTAAGTTCTCTTGGAGGTGGTTGTCTTGGCGGTGTTCGCATTTTCTTGCGAAACTCGTCCGTTCGTTGGGCACGGCGCGGCTGGCGAGTGTTTTTGCTCTTTGGTCCCCGAGCGATGGGGTTCAAATCCAACTGGCCTAGCACACCTTTGAAAAAAAACGCATGCTCGCTGCAACTGCTCTGAACGAAATGTGGATGCTCGTCCACCACTTCCCCTGTCTCCAAAACATACAAAGCTGTGAACCTATACATCAGCTTTTTGTGCATGGAAAATGACCAGACGCCGCTGTTCCCTAAAGCCTCACGGAACGCGGCTTCGCCGTTCTCTACCACGCACGATAAAGCCAAATCAAGTCTCTGCTGCATCAGAGCTTTGTGCGATTTGGCCAGATCCATCTTGTACTTCGGCATGATTACGAGGGCTGCAATGTCAACATTCTTGTTGTCCACTACCATGCGAGCAGACACCTCGTGTTTCAAGAAGGTGTTGTCTTCTCCTGCCACAAAGTGAATTATCACACAGAACCAAGGGAATCAAGACATGTTAGAGTCAGTGACAGTTCGTGATTAGGAGTTCTCCCCGACTGGCCTTCTTTTGCCAGCCAGTCACGAAGCAAGTCCAGTGTCAGGCGGTTGGACTGTTTTTCCTCCTCGTCCTCCTGCTCAGACTTCAACCGCTTGGCACTGTACGCCAATGATTCCGGAGGCACACGAATCTGAAATGCCGCAGTTGCATACTGCCCACCTTGCGCCAAGCTTCGCAACGCAGAGGCAGTTTCACGAACCAAGTGACTGACATCCTGGTGCGCAAAACCCTTTTTGAACAAGCCCTTTAAGGTCCGCCATGCCCGTTCAGTCTAGGTATGGGCTTGTTCACTTCCCTTCGCTACACTTGCCCCCCTACTGCGTTATTGTATACCCCAGCTTATTCGTTTTACATAAATTATACAATATTATTGGGAATATTGTATAACTGATGTGAACAAGCCCATACTCTAAGGTTCAAATTCTCAATAAGCCCCGCCTTGTTAGTTTATGCTTA